ATTTCTCTGTACTCTTCATGACTGTGACTAAAAGAACTGATGAGAGGGAGGTGATCCTGGACTGGTGCTGCCCAGGATTTTGCCAGATGTGAATGTTGTTGAACGAACAGGAAATATTGACCATAAGGCTATCACGTTTAATTGTTTTTAAATGGGAAACTGCCAAGGAGGTCCAACAGTTACACTTGATTTCAAAGAGGGAAACCTCCTTAGAGTAAAGGGAAAGTAAACAGGAAAGTAAAGGGGTGGTCAAGATGGTTACATTTCTGCAAAAGACAATAATAGAAGCTCAGCTTGCATGTATAGAGCAGGTCAGGAAAAGCAACACCATGTCTAAGGGGTCAACGGTACAGGCAATGAATAGTGTCCAGTCTTGCCCAGATGAGGAGAACAAAAAGGAACACTAACTTGTACAAAGGAAATGCAAGCTGAAAATAAGTGGGCACAACCAGAGGAAGGAGCCCAGGCGTTCCTGGGCTGGAGCGTCTCATCTGTGGGTTACAGGGAATGTTTAAGAAAGAAGGCAAGTATGCGGAGACAGGCCAGAGATGTACAGAATTATACATGGTGGGGAGAAGATGGGTAGGGAGGCATTTTCCTCCATCTTTCCTAATGCTAGGACCCAGGGTCTTTCCATAAAGCTGACTGGAGGGTGATTCGGGGCAGGTAAAAGGGAGTACTCCTTTGCACTGCACTTACTTACACTACAGGTTTGCCACACAATGTAATGATGGCAAGCAACTTGGATGGCTTCAAAAAGGACCAGACAAATTTATCAGGGATTTGGCTATTAATGGTTATGGAGGCTATATACTAAAGCCAGAAGTGTGCCTATGTATGAAATTTGCTGGGGAATACAAGTGGAAAGGTACCATTGCCTTCATATCCTACTTGTGGCTTTCCAATGAGGACTCCTGGCTGGCCACTGTGTGAATAGAATCTGTACTAAATAGACCTTTGGTATAATTCAGGAGGCTCTCCTAACATTCTTATGAAGGGTTATGGAGGGGGAGAAAGAGAGAGGGAGAGTGTGTCTCCTGAATTCAAAGTGAAGGAGTGGATCGGGGGCGGGGGGGAAGGATCAGAGCCATTTTGAATATAACTTTACAGGGTCAGCCTGGAACACATTGTTAACATGCACTTTTTAAAAATGTGTGAATGCTCTAACAAGGGAGAGCAGGAACCTTGAACTCGCTCTTAGCACCCACCCCAAGACCAAACAAGGCACACAGGACATGTGGTTGGTCTTCCCCACTACGGGGAGATGTCCTGTATTTCTGCTTAAAATCCAGCAACTCTTTCTAGACGTGAATCCACACTCACATGCAGATCTGTTTCCTCTTTTGGCAATAAATGAGTGGATGCAAAGAAGAAATTAACATCCAATGTAGCTTGACACCGAGTAATGCTTTCAGAGGGAAATTCCTCTAAGGAATGGGTGGAAGTGTTTGGCCATTCGGTTAGGTTTAATACATTCATGCACACCAAAAAGTAAAGAGCATTTCCTGGGCATTTTTAAGGGTAAAATGAACAGCTGTGTGTGGTAAAAGGGGCCTGAACTGAGCTCACAGGGTCAGGTAACATCTATTCAATACAAACATGTTACCTGGCAGGCAGAACTGAAGAGAAAAAGGGAAGTACTCACTTGCCAGGTCAGTAATGACATGAAGGACACAGTGGGAGAGGGTAGTTACTGGAAATCAACACAAAAATAGGCTATTGAAGCTTGAGGTTCTGGTCTGCAGGATATCGGGAAGCCTTTGAACAAGAGTTTGGCCATAGCATATTAATAAAATTGGGTATCTGCCACAAGAAGGGAGATGAGTTGCTTATTGATTGCCCATGTTCAAATGATGCTTATCACCTGAAGATGGTACTTGCAAGCTGTAAGGGCTCATCCAATAAAGCTGCTTGGCAGGGTATTAAAGACAGACAAAACAAAGCACATCTTCATACAGTGCACAGTTAACCTGTGGACTTTGTTGTTGCAAATTAACAGTCAATAGCTTACATGGGATTAGCCAAATTAGAAGGACAAGGCTATCGATAATGAGCAAAAAGCTGCAGGGGGGATATATTTCTTTTGCCTCCTGACCTCAAGAGCTTATAGGCATTTCTTGCTGAAAGGCATCTAATAATAGAACATCCAGAGGACTGCAGAATGAACATTTACACATTGTCCTCCTTCCACCCCCGCCCACTAGCTTCACCAGTCCCCAGTGAGGCATGCGGAAGCTTTGAAAGCACTAGAGATATTGCTGATAATTTTCAGGGATTGCACATTGTCTACAGTGATACATTGCCTTGATTCTGGACACTACAGTCCGTATTCATTAACCCCTGTTGATTAAGACCCAGTTTACAAGTCACAGCAACATTCGGGGGCAAGTAACGCTTGGAATTTCAATACAGAAGAAAGTGATGGAGGGCTTCTGCCCCCTGCCATCTATGTGGGCACTATGATCAACATTTGAGGCCTTCTACCACCTGCCCCCTCCAAGCAAGGCTCAGAAGGCAGTGACAAGGGGACGGCCTTCTTGGCAGTGCCCTGCAGCAGTGGAATGACCTCTCCACTGAGCCCTGCCTGGAGCCAACTGTGTCAGCCCTCCCAACACCAGGTGAAGAGAAATGCTGAGACACGTAAAGACATCCCAGGATATTTAGTGACTCGAGGGGCACTCATCAAGTCAGGTGTGTAGAGCACGTTTGTTCTGTATTCTGGATTCTTGTTTTAGCTGTTAAATTGTTTTTGAATTTTATATTTTGGAAAATGTTTGTGGTATTTCATTGTATTACAGGCCTTTTCTAGGAAGTGTTTTAAACTTCCCAGAGATCTTCAGCTACTGGGAGCTATGGAAATGAAATAAATAATAATAAAGCATGGGTTAATTAGCCCACAGTTTAATGAAACCATGATTTGCAGGGTTGTGTACTCTGTGTGAGCCAATGTTGGTTTGCAGAAACAAACTATGAACACCTCTTTTGCAGGTTTTTAGCATGATGTCCACACACTTTCAGTTGTTTGTAGTTTAAATAACCCAAAGTTAACCTATGGTATGTTAACCATAGGTCTTAGCCTGGTGCCAAAAAACAAATAACGGCACCAGGCAGACCTCTCTGGGGAGCGCATTCCATAGATGGGGCGCCACCGCAGAGAAAGCCCTCCTCCGGGTACTCACCCTCCTAATATCATTCACAGAGGGTTCCCAGAGAAGGGCATCTGTTGCTGATCTCAAGGGGTGGGAGGGCATAATTATGCATAATATGCAAAATATGCATATTTAATACTGATTGGGCTTCTCTTTTGTCCTTTTTTTAAAAAAATGCACAAATGGATGCTCTGGGATATACCTAAAATACATGTAAATGGCAGTATTTAGTGCCAGGTAATGAAATTTTTAACACAGCGCTCCTGCTATACACACATTTTGTTAGCTAGGTTAGGCTGAAAGAATAGCTGGTGTCATGTCACCAAGTAAACCTAATGGCTGAGCAAGGATATTAACTTAGGTGTTTCTAAAATACACTCTCACACAGAACTATCTAGGGTCCAACACAGCTGCCTGAATTTTTGGAGGCTTATTTAGTGTGCTTCTGTGCAGACCCTCAAGATGAGCTCATGTACATCAAAAAACTCATGCACCACTGGGATTTCTTCTGACTAGACGTGCACAAGATTGTACTGTAGCTTGTGTATATTTTAGGATGCAATTCTATGCACACTTTCCTGAGAATATGTCCCACTGAGCACAGTGAGATATTTACTTCTCATTAAACATGCAATGGATTGCACTACAGAAGAGTCAAGTACTTTATAATATTTTTCTTTCATATTGAGATTAATCAGTGTGAAGATGCATTTCCCAAATCTATGCCTGTTTCTTTGAGGAATGCAAATAGGAACTTGATGCCGGGACAACTACATTTATAATTTAAGCATTTTGCATCTATTTTTAATAAAATCCAGTTTTAATAAAATCTAGCAACCCTTTTAATGTAGTTGCTCTAATTAAAAATTTAAGATCTCTAGGATTTTTTTTTTTCATGAACAGAGACATAAAGGACTTGAAATCATGAATCAACATAATCTTAACCTGGCATGTTTGACATAATTTTAATGTTAATTCTACTAATTTCAGTGGTAATTTGTATACACATACTCTTTCTGTAAATGTAGGTCCTTAACCATTTCCCTTAAAAGATGTGTTATTGTGCCCATCTATATTAGGTTTTGGTTAAGATATAAAGGGCAAGTAATAAGCTGAAATGCAGAATGGCCACAGATAAAATTATATCTGCCTAATGGCAGCCAGTGTGATGTAGTGTTTAAAATGCTGGAGCAAGGCTCAAGAAACCACATTCTAGTCCTCACTTAGCCATGAAGCTCACTGGGTGACTGTGGGCCAGTCAGACTCATGTGACCAGTCTACTTCTCACAGTTCTCTAAGAAGCAGGATTATGTAACCTGTCTTGGATTCTTTGGAGGAACAAAGGTGGGATATGAATAAACATCTGTATCACCGTGAAGTGTAATCTGCAATGCAGACTTATACACATTCATTTAGAAGCAAGCCTCTGTAAGTTTATGGTACCCACTCTGTGTGTAGGAATGCTGCAATAATCTTAAAATATAAATAAATTAAAAATGCTAAATAAACAATTAACACAAAGTGGCATTAACAGGATGGACTGAAACCTGGAGATTATCTACTTTTATTTTAAATCAATGCTTTAACTGAAAAGGGGAGGGAATCATACTATAAGTGCGTGAAAGCAGGTTTTAAAAATAAGGCATTTGAGGAATAAGGGAGAACTATGCTAATCTATAACCAAAGACTAAGCAAAGTCCCGGATAAACTAAAGGGGAAAAAAATGGGGAATCGCATTAGACCTTCTTGCTGCAGCATCACGAGGAAAGCTGCTTTCAGCACCGCCTAGGAAACGTAACCCCGCCCCGGCGCTCCATTGGCCAACGTGAGGAAAAGGAAAACAAACCCCACCCAGCGCGATGTATCTACGTCACCGTCCAAGGAGACGAGCGGCCAATAGGAGCCTCCCGTTGACGGCCTTCCTGGCGGGCGGCAGCATGCGCAAGAAGAGGAAAGGGGCGCGGCGGGGCGGGGCGTACTATCACGTGAGCCCGTCCCCTGCCGATGTGGTCAGCAGTGGTAGGGTCACGTGATTCACTGCCTACGCGCGGTGGGGCCGGGTGCAGATGGCGGACGCCGAGGCTGACGCGGCCCTGCAGCCGGAGATGCAGCGGCTGGCCGCCGGCCTCCGTTCTCGGCTCTGGCAGCTGCAGGCGGAGCTGAGGGAGCAGGGGGTGGCCGCGGCGTCGTCGGGCGCCTATTGCCGCGGGTTCTGTCAGGTGAGGGGGCACGTAGTGGGGCGGGCCTGCGGGGGAAGGTGCGTCGAGGCGAGCGGGGTGCCCGGGCTGGGCTGGGCTGCGCTGGGGAGAGCGGGGTGGCGCGGTCAGGTGAGGGGCCCGCGGGGTGCGCGGCGCTGCGGTGCAGGGGGCGAAGGTGGCGGCGAGCCGTTGCCTGGTGCTGGGGAGGCGGGGCCGGAGACCGTTCCTGGTGGGAGGCTGAGACGCCACTCCGTCGCTGCCGCCGCCACTTCCCCTTTTTCCTTGTCTCCCTGGTTCGCGCAAGGGTTGCCTTCGGGGTGCCCCTCTGGAAATTCCCTGCCTTCTGGTGCCTCCCGTTCCCCCCCCCCCCACCCCATGGATTCGAGGTTATGCGGTTGCTTTTGGACACTGTGTTCGAAACCTTCTCCCGTCGCGTTTTTTGTGCGTGGCTTTGCTGGAACTACGCGGGGGAGGGACGTAGTGGTGGGGTGTTCAATGCAATCGATTAGCCCTTTGGTCCGATTTCCTTTCTTCCGACCTAGTTTTAGCTAAATCATGTCCCTCCACTCCCCGAGTAGCCTTCTAAAAACGGTTGTTGGAAGGGCTGTCAGAAAATAGGTTTTGCTGTGCAATCCAATGCATGGTTGGGCAAAGAAAGTTATGCTGTTTAAATCCCAAGGAAGCTTCTGTAGGGTAACAGACTTATGTTTCAGTCGTCTTAACGCTCTTCCCTCAAAGAACTGAAGGAGTACATTATTTCTCCTCCCCAATTTTGTTATCACAATAACCCTGTGAGGTAGGGCTGACCCTTTCTGAGTATTGATCTGCACTGAGCTGTGATCTAAGTGCTGATTTGCACAGAGCTGAGAATGACTTCATAGCAAGTAGGTGTGTTGGTGGGTTTGTAATGTCTGGTGTGATCCAGCCCTGCTTTCTGGTGCTTGGGCTGCTCCTGATGGCAATTTCTGCCGTAGTTCTTTTGCATTTTTATATAGGACAGAACAGAGGATAATATTGAGGTTGTTTGTCCAACAGGTTTCATTATTTTTTTATTATTCTGACCCTCATAGGGGGACAAATGCATTTTTCTGCTGCTGTTGGGACTGTGTGACACTCAATGAGCCCACCCTATCATGTGTTGAGCCTGTATGCCTCTAGAGCTTTTTTGGTTGGGGTTTGGTGGGTGGCTATAAGGACCATGGCTTTTTAATGGTCGTTTTGTGTTTCTGGAATAGCCTCTCCAGGCATATTTTCCTGACACCGGCTGGATCTCTTTTTAGATGCCAGGTAGTAAGTGCTGTTTATTAAAGTATTAGCAGATATTGTAGATAGTGGTTGGTTTGCTGAATGCCAGTCTGACTGTTTTGAAGATGTAAAATCTGTGTATTATAAACCTTAGTAAAATATGTGTATTATGAACATTACAGATATTGTGTATATGTGTAGAGATATATTTTAATCTGGGCTAATTGTTTTTCTGTGTGGTATTATGTTTTGCAAGTGTCATTACCATCTGATTACCATTGCAAAAACTTATGTTGACACTTTGGAAGTCAGCCTTTGTATGCTGCTCTCTTGAACAAACTTATTCTACTGGGGTAACTTTATTTGAAAATGAAGTTTTTATATCAATATCAGAAATAATGGGAAAATAACACTGTGCTGAAAATGTCATCTCAATGATGATGAATGAACAGTGTCCAAAATTGAGAATGCCACTTTAACACAGGACTTCGATTACAATAATAGGCCAGATCATTTTTCCAGATAATTAATTTATTAAGATCTATGGGTGTCTTTTAGGGGAACTTCTGCCAAGGGTAGATTTGCTTTCATGTGTCTGATACTTGGTTGTGGGTGGGATCTCAGGTTGGACAGTACCAATAGGTTGGGAAGAAGTTCTTGGATCAGTTCCTATGGGACTTTTCTGCAGTAGAGTCTAAACTGTGGAACTCTCTTTTAGACATGCCTGCCTGACACCTTCTCTTACCTTTTAGATAAATTCCATGTTGTTCTCTTGTTTTTTTAATGGTAATTAAGAGCCTTTTAAATATTTTAGTGGCTTTTCAAATCAGCTGCCTTTATACTTGTTTTTAATTGTGTTTCTTGCTTGCATTTTGTAAAATAGTGTAAACACCTACAGGGTGTTAACATTGAAACATGGGTTGTAAATCCTAACAAATGGTAACAATTGTTAAAGTATTGTCTGACCTGGCATCAGGAAAGAATAGAAGTCCAGTTTTGTTAGACTTACTTTTAAGAAGAGCTTTCTAGTGCAGTATGGAAGAAAAGATAGAGCAGTGTCCTCAAATTGCTGAGTGATCTCTTCATAGCTTAGGCAGACAAGCCTAGTGAAACCTTGTCATATTTACTTATTCTATTAATGTACATAACACATGGTGCTTCAAGCAGAATCAGAGGATGGGTTTTGCCCCAGAGGACTTAAAACCTAAAAATACATTGGAAGGAAATGGGAGCAGGCATAAACAAGGAAAGAATATGCAATTATTTCAATGATAGGTAGTCAAGCTTGGTTACAGTAGGGTGGGTTAAGCAACCCAGTGCCCCCCAGAAGCTTTGAAGTACAACTTTTAGAATCCTTGCCTATTGGCCATGCTGCCTGGGTCCAATGGCAATGGTGGGTTTTTCTGGAAAAAGTAGAAGTGGGCTTTTTTCCAGAAAATTGTCCAATGTTCTAAATATTTTCTGATTTAGCATATTTATTTGGCTCATTTTTACTTTCTAATTCACATTTTTGCTAGTAAGCACATACAATTAATAGTAAAAAGTGAAAATATAAGCAATGCCAATTTTAGGTGCAATATAAATATTTTTTTTTCTTAGCAGCTGCAAATTATTTGCACTAAATTATATGTTTAAAGGAAAATTAAATGACCCATATAATAGAGTTTAAATGCAATACTCAAATGTTACATCCAAATGTTATATTCAAACTTTTATGTGGAGGTTATTTCATTGGAATATTTGTAAAACTGTGAAGACAATAGCAGAATTATTTATTTTCTAGGCTGCCCAAGCTGTCTGCACATTTTATGACATAAACTTCCTTCTGCTTGTTTATATTTAGCAAAGTGAGCTACACCTGAAAGAATACACTGTGTTTAGAACAGGTACCTCACCAAATGCTGGTATGTCTTACATCAACAAGTATTTTGCTGAAGTAGCTGAGCACTTTCAACTTCATTCACTTTGTACTGCTAATCAGCTCTGCTACAAGTTGAGAAAAATCTAATTCAGAAGAACTGGTGGATTGTTCTATTGGAGGGTGGATGTGGGTCTGTGGGCACTGGCTGGAGTGCTTGGGGGGCAGCTGCTGTTGCGCTCCTATCCTGCTATCCCATGGGTAATTGGCTGGCCACCGTGTGAACATGATGCTGAACTGGATTGCTCCTTGGTCCAATCCAGCAGGGCTCTTCTTATGTTCTTAAGTGAAACAAAGTGTAATTTTAGTCTTACTTTCAGTTTCAGTTGCTCTTCAATTTGTTGTTAAAGAGTGTTAGCAATAGAGGGCACATACACCATGAGGAACTTTCTGGTCCAGACCCAGGAATGAGTTGTCATTACCTAGTTTTCAGTTCCCCAAGGGGAAACTGTGCACAAGAGTTTGTCAATGCTCACCTTGGAAGAATAATTTATAGATAATCATATCCTATCATTTCTTACAGTTAGCCTGATTATGTGAATGCAAAGATACCTGGAAAAATATAGCATCAGAACATCACGGGCTGTTAGGAGTTTTAGTTCAAAATATCTGGAAAGCACTGGGTTATCTAACTCTGCATTTAGGCTATTAGGATTAGCAGGTTGTTCTAATGACTCCAGTAAGCAGTACTTGGGATACTGTACAGACCCTCCAGTCATACAGCATCTACTGAAACGATGGTTACATTTGAACATGATAGTAAATTATAATTCAGTGCTATGTGCACTCCATCGCCTTTTACATGACCAGGGGGAGGTATAAGCCAGAATTCCGCTTTGCTTGAATGGATTATCGGTCTGTTGTGTGTGGTATAAAATAAACTTTAGGGCAAACCTATCGAGTGGCCCTCAGAGACTGGAAGCTCCTGAACTCAGAGGTGTCTGATTATCCAGTTCAGGTGAGTGGAATGGCAAAGATGACCCTCACCTCGCTGATTTGGTTAGGTGGGCTCTTAACCAGTGAAAGGCAAAGCAAAACAACTTGGCTTTGTTGTTGACTTAATTAGAGTTTGACTAGAGTTTAAGTCAAGTCACAATTCCTTGTTCACTTCTAACTAGGAATTTGCCAAGGCAAATCAGAATTCTGTCTCTCACTTCCTATCAATCACATGGGAAGAGGAGGCGGGATCACATGAGCCAGGAGTAACTATGGCCTGCAGGTGGTTAGAATGGGTGTAATTATTCCTGCCAGAACTTTCAAGACTGAGACAATCTAGTTTTCTTCTGTGGATCTGGTCCATTAGCATCAACTGCAGAGGGGTGCAGACACATGCTACAGAAGTGCCAGGCTAGCTGCTATACAGGATAGTTGCTTACAATCAACTCTGTTTATTAAATAAGTCGGTCTCTCTCAACGATGTGTAGTATGTAGTGCCATTTGTGTTGCTCCCCAGAATTTAGATTGACCTCTGGTTGCTCAACAAACTCAGCAGAACCCTCCTATGATGTGAGTAAACATTCCTTTAGACCAGCCTTTCCCAACATAGTACTCTCCAGATGTTTTGGACTACCACTTCCATCAGCCCCAGCTAGCATCGCCAAAACATCTGGAGGGCATCAAATTGGAGGTAGCTGCTTTAGACATAAAAACAAGCATGAATGAATGAGTGATGTGAATTCTCTGGGAAATTTTGAATTGAACAGTTTTCCAAAACAAATTAAGTTAATTTTCTTAGGGTTAATTTGCAGAGGGGAAAATGAGTTTGCCTTGAGATGTGTTACCAAGTTCTAGAGAAAGACTGGGTAAGTTTTAGCCGTTCAGAAGCTTTAGCATACTGATCACATCATCCCCTACTGTT